CTCAAAAAAGCCCGCCGCCACCAGCACCCGGTCCCGCCGGGCCCGCTGGCGGGCTGTCCCCGCGGAGTCTGTCTGGGGGCGCACCCGGTGGAAGTGCGGGGGTCCCAGCCGACGGGGCCGGAAGGCGGTGGCCCCGACCCCCCTGATTGGGAGCCTGCGGTGTTGAGAGGAGGGGCAGGTCACTCCAGGTTTCTTGTGTGTTTTTTGGGGGGGAGAAAGGGCTCGGAGCAGAAAGGACCGGAAGTTTTAGATGGAAGGTTAGGGCCCCGTGGTGACCTGCTGACCGCGCTGGACAGGGAGGAGGAGAGGAGAGGGGTCCGGACTCAGCATTGAGGAAGGAGAAGGGAGAGAAGTAAAATAAAATAAAATAAAAAAGACGGTTGTGTCCTGGGCATCAGGCGGACCTGGCGCGGGAATGGGATCCCGCTGTAAATCTGAGCCACTGGCCACCTTTCGGAGGAGCCGGAGGGGACGGGAGACGGCCGGGGCACGGACGGGCCGGGCAGGAGCGACTCCAGGCCCAGGGCACGTGGCCGTCCCGCTGGGTCAATATTGACCCGTGGCTGCTGGTCCCTGGGCCGCGGCCTCTGGACCCTGCAGGCCCTGGGAGCAGTGCACACGGCCCGGCGGCTTGGGGTGGCGTGTCCTCCATTGGGTTCGCAGTTTTGTTCAGATCTGGGCTCGCACAGGCTAAAGTGTAGGCACACTGTGCGCTACGCACTGGTGCACTTGTGCTCTCCCCTCCAGAAGTACCCTCTGACCCCCCAGAGAAGACAGCTCGCTGTTCCTCCCAATACACTGTCCGGGGTGTAATCCACAGCCCGGGAACTTGATCTGACAGTTGCCCATTTCTTTTTTTCTTAATGTTACAGACTTTTTTTAAAATACATTTTTACTGATTTCAGAGAGGAAGGGAGAGGAGAGAGAGAGCGAGAGAGCGAGAGTGAGAGCGAGAGCGAGAGCGAGAGAGAGAGAGAGAGAGAGAGAGAGAAACATCCATGATGAGAGAGGGTCATGGGTCGGCCAGCTCCTGCACGCCCCCCACTGGGTATCGAGCCTGCAACCCGGGCCTGTGCCCCGACCGGGAATCGAACCCGCCACCTCTTGGTCGACGCTCAGCCGTTGGTCCACACCGGCCGGGCTGCAGTTGCCCGTCGACCTAGGAACCAGGAGGTCACTGGTTTGATTCCCAGTCAGGGCACAAGCCGCGGTTGTGGGTTCGATCCCCAGTAGGGGGGCGTGCAGGAGGCGGCTGATCTGTGACCCTCTCTCATCACTGATGTTTCTCTCTCTCCGTCTCCCTTCCTCTCTGAAGTCTACAAAAAAAAACGTATTTTGAAAAAAATAAAATGATTGCTGGTCATGTTCTTCAGTGTCCAGATCTAGGCTGTGTAGGTTAAAATGTAGGAACGTACAGTACACATGCAGCTGTTAGAATTTAGTTTTCTGATTTTTGTGATTGAGGACAACTTTTCACAAGTGGTTTTTCACGTAAAACTTGGGGAAAACCGTAGGTGCTGGCTTCGTGCTGACTCAGGACAGCAGGATTTTGGCTGATTTGACAGCCCCCTCCCCCTGCACACGTTAGGTCGGAAAATAAAAACGAGACGTGAGCTGTCGTGGGAGTAGCTTGGGAGCTCGCTGTCGTTTTAGTTCTGCCCTAGCGTGGGAGTCTGGACCCTGACAGGTTACTTCATCCTGGGGAGTCGCGGGGTTCTCGTCTGTGAAATGGGTGGTGAAACTAGTTCGGAGGTGCTATGAGGAGTCAGTCCGGTGCGGGGAACGTGGAAGGCAGACACCTTAGTAAACAAACACATCGCCCTGCAGCCCTCCGACCAGGTTCCTGACGGCCTCGGACTCCAGCGTAGGGCGCTGGTCGGCAAAGTACCCCGTGCGGGCGCACCCGTATGGTGCAATTGGAACTCCGTGGCCCGTGCGCAGAAGTCGGTATCTTGTGGAAGAGCCACACTCAAGGGGCCAAAGAGCCGCATGTGGCCCTCGAGTCGCAGTCTGCCGACCAGGGTGTAGGGCTCCCAGCACGTTATCCTCGTGCCGCGTGCTTTCTGCCCTCTGCGGGCTCCTCTGCGGAGCGCGGCCGCCAGCACGTCGGGTGGGTGACTGCTTCCAGCACATCCGTCGGGGGTCACACAGCATTTACCGGGTCCCCACGAGGTCCCTGACCTGAGCTCGAGGGGTCGGGGCTGCAAGACAAGTGCCACGGCCGTGCGCTTGGGAAGCTTCCAGTCTAGTGACTCCTCATGGCTTTTGTGACGCCCGTCCCGTCAGGGAGCCGCGTTCTCCGTGCCCTTCCTCCCCAGCCCTGGGCCCCACAATCCCCCCAGCAGCCAGCCTGCACAACCCTTTCACAGGGGTCGCCTAAGTACATCCTGCATGTCAGATGTTCACATGACGATTCATCACAGTAGCAACATTACAGTGATGAAGTAGCAACGAAAATAATAATATGGTTGGGCCACAACATGAGCTGTAGTGAAGGGTCGCGGCATCAGGAAGGTTGAGAACCGCTGCTCTAGAATTTGTTTTACCCCTTTCCTTGCACGCCCGACACTTCATATCCTCACCTCTTGGCCCCAGTTCTGCCACCCAGTGCCTGGCACACTGTGTGTGTGTGTGTGTGTGTGTGTGTGTGTGTGTGTGTGTGTAAAGTTAAAAAAACTAAATACTCTACTATCTCCTGAGGTGTGATTATCGTTCTGTCTTCTGATCATAGATCTCCGAAGTTTTAAACCTGAGTCTCTGGACTCTAGCTCAGGCCTCTGTGCAGCCTCCTGGTCTGCTGCCTGGAGGAGGAGGAGCCGGGGGCCCGCCCGCGTGGCTGGAGATGCGCGTTCCCTGCGCTGCTCGTAGGAGGCAGCCTGCACAGGGTGCCATCAGGGGGCCTTTTCCGACCGTGACACTTGGTGCAGGAAATACGGCTTTCTTTTCTGATCAAGGAAATGAGGTGGAATCACAGGAAATGGCAGTGGTGTTAATCTAGAAACTTGCCCCATGTCCAAAGCCTGAGATGTGTGAAATACTTGAAGATGCTGTATGAGTGATTTCCAAACGAAATTGCTTATGAATAAATACATAAGTTTCTTCGCGAGCTTTCCCTCCCACTTACTGTCAGAAATGTCCCCTGTAGTGCTTCGTCTCAGTTGCCTTTAACAAGTAAATACCATTGTGGATGACAAGTCAAGGAGATTATTAAGGCCTCTCGGAGAATGAAATAAAGCTAGCGCTTTTTCTTTTAAATACTGCTATTTGCACGCAGCTGACAGTTGTCACGGCTGGATCCGGAGGAGCCTGGTGCCCGAACTGGGAGGATTACATGTAGGGTTGTAAGTGCCTCGGGGCCCCAACAGGTTCCGTGAACAAAGCCCCTCCCGGTGAGGAGCGGGTCAGCTAGCTTCCCAGCCTTTGTTCTGTTCCTTCTGTCGTGCGAAGGTGGTGCTTGCTTTGTCTGTTCCAGAGGATTATGCTTTTCAAATGTGATCGTTCTCAAAAAAATGGATTAAAACGGACTTAGTG